TTACCCCTCACACCCTCTAATCACTCTTCACACCACCAATACTTCTTTCCTTTAATTAATTAAATTAATTCCAATAATCCAAAAATACCAATAATTAAATTTCCAATTAAATTAATAATTAAAAATTCTAATTATTTAATAATCGGATTATTTGGGGTGTCACACCCTTGACCGGAGTCAAGTCAGTCAAACCGCCCAGCCTGGTGGTTTCCACCGTCTTCTTCGGCATGGGAGTTTTTCGATCCTGTAAAACATGATAAAATAAAGCAAATGAAAGGGGCTATCCACCTAATTCGGCCATTGTGAATTCAATAGTGGTGACCGTTTGGTCTGAAACGGCATGTATCACCCAGATAGAAGCTTAACGAACTCGAAACCCTATCAATGGCAATATGCGTTTCAAGCTTCAAAGCTCACATGAGTTACATCTAACTTGTCCTAAATGGTCTCACAAACATATATCAATGCACAAGAAGAATTTATATAATATGAATAAAAAGTTTGAGATCTAAGAATGTGAGCAAACCGGAGCAACTTGTATGCGCGATCCAGATGTGCTTCAGGCTAAGGTAAGGACTTGGATGAACTTCAGAGACCTTCAAGAAGCTAGTGGAATGCTTGGAATTGACTGAAGATGTGGAGATGGGAGTTTGAAATTGGACAACTTTGAATTTTTTTTTAAATTTTGTGTAGCTCTCTTAGGCAATGGTATCGTCCGTTTGGCTTGCTCATGGCTTGTATTTATAGAGGAGATGGAGGGGACAAAGAAATGAGGCAATAATCCAAGCCATAAAGCCATGCTTTCATACCAAAATCCAACAGATTAAAAAGCTTCCAAACTTTGCAAAACTTGCCCTTTCCATTCTTGCATGCACCTGGACATCTTGGCACGAATTTATGGGCCCAAGGCTGATCCAAAATGTTAGCCCATGTGCCCAAAACAAATATCTATTATTTTATGCCTTTTATTTTATATTTATTTGAATAAAATAAAATAAAATGTGAATAAAATAGCTAGAAATTGCAAGGCATGGTAAGAATGAGATTAGAGGTCCTTTATAAGCTTAGGAGGATGTTTGAAGTCCAAGAAATTAATCCATTGACCTAAAAGTTTAAGTTTACTCAATGCTCAATTCTTGAAATTTCCAAAATTTTCCCAACTTAGGTAAGCCATAACTTGCTCAATTTTTATCTCATGATGATGATCTTGGACTTTTTAGAAATCCCATGATGTCTACTTCAATCCTTCTTTTGATCAATTTTGCATTTGAAGACTGTATCTTGATGTAAAAGGTCTTGGAAAAAAGTGTATTTTGTTGACTTTTTGAAAATAACCTGTAATGTATGAGCTTGTATCTTTCAAATGATGCATTTCTTGGACTTGAGGGAAAAAGATAAGTTGTAGGGAATGAGATTCTATTCAAAATGAGCTTTGTTTGGGGGAAAATGGATGAAGTATGTGAAAGTTATGCCTGGTCAAAGTTTAGTTGACTTTTCCTATAGAAACCCTAGTTTAGTAATTTTTGACTTTTGATAGATTAGGAGCATTTTTTGAGAAATCATGATCAAACCTTGATCGAATGATGGATATCAATTCAAAATGTTAATGTTGACCAAAAATCATGAAGTTTGACTATATTTGGGCCACAATTGACTTTTGACCTAATATAGTTGATTTTCCAGCATATGAGCAATTGATTGAGCAAACTTGTAGTGTAAGGCATAAAATTTGTCATGGACAACCTTGAAGGAATATTAGGGCCATGGAAAACATTTGAGACCTTTGGAGCTCACACATCTTGATGAAAAGTGAAACCCTAGTTAGAGGTTCATTGCTTAGGAGGAGAATTTGTCTGGTCAATTCTTGGTCATCCTTGAGCAATTGGGAACCTCAATGAGCATGCCTTGAGTAAAAGTGGGAGGGAAATTTTTTTAGTACAACACTAGCATCATCATATACGCCTCTAGAACCATATAAGTCTCTCAGTCCTGAAAAATGTCATCGAGATTCCGACGAACAATGCGATCAGAAGCAGCCTCAGTGGGAGATCTAGGAATGGACTGCACATATCCAAACTACCTGATGCATCACTCTGGAAGATACCTCACCATCATGTTGGTCCCATATGCCATCTAACCTGAATATAACGAGATGCATTCGAAGGGTATCGTATCTCTGTGATCCTCAAACGGTCTCCATATAACATCATCATGCACCATCCGATCTAGATGCACCCGAAACAGCGGCACAATGCTATTCCCCCTCTAGAGGATATACCTGACATTCCTTGGCGTGTCCTTAGTATAGTCCCTATCATAAGCTCATTCATGGATGCGGTGAAAGTGAGAAATAATCCATCCTTGAAACACAAATAACATATATGTAAGAAAAAAATTATTGTTAAAATAAATATAATATTTTGAATAAAAATATACCGTAAATAGGGTGCAAGATCTTGTAAGCTGCCTCGTCCTCCATTTACAAGCGTTATTAAGGTTTTGGTATAGGTATACCAAACAACCAGCCCCCCAGTTCCACTTATTAATAGTGTTCAAATCTATAAAGTACTTGAGGAGTGCCACATCAACGTATGCAACACTTTTGTCCATAAAAACGGGCGTGTCAACCAAGAACAAAAAGAAACACCTCAATGCACACTCACGATGATACTAAACAAATAACTATTCTCTCTCGACCTCAACAATTGAAGCTGATACTAAGTGTTCTTCATATGTGTCACTCAAGAAATAGAACTTGGCATATGTCCCATTAGTTGAGTCACACTGCTCATATGCCTTATCCGGCGAAGCCCTCAATAATCAACCATCATTTCAATTGCATCAGTACGAGTGATCTTTGAATGGTTAAGTAACCTCCCTCTGATAAGAAGGTGTAGCAGACATGCTACATCGTCGAGTGTAATCGTCTTCTCCCCAACTAGAAAGTGGAAAGACGACGTCTCTTTGTGCCACCTCTCGACGAATGCCCCCTGCATTTCGTGGCTAATGGTAACATAACCGAAACAATAAAGTCCAACTTGTCCCGAACCATGAATTGCATTTTTTAATCAATCCTCATAAGGATGAAATAGTTCAAATATTTTTCCTCGCATGGTTCACAGACTTTATAATTCGTCGTTCTTCGCCCTCACAAACATGTTGGGCGACATGTTCATTATAACAGGTCAAAAGGGAGGTGTCATAGGACCCTCCCGGATACCCCGGGCTTGGCTCACCCGCTGCATTCGATGAATCATCGTCTTCAGGTTTCTGTGCCCGAACAACCTCCTCCTCCACCTCCGGTGCCTGCTCATAATCCTGAGACGAAGACTCGTGAGATAACCGACTCCTTGGAGCTGAAGTGGATCCTCCTTCCACATCCTCCCACGCAACTCGTTCTCGTCCTCGAGTCCTAGTGGACTGTAGTGCTCTCTCGCGCTGAGTCGAGGCTGTCTGGGTAGGTCTACCAAGTCTCGTGATGTTTGGAACTTCAACCATTAACTTGGAACAATAGCAACTAATCAATGAAGGTGCAATATGGGATAAATATTTTTTTAAAAATTAGCTCAGGCCTAAAATCGGATGTGCATATTCGAAATATCTCAGAGGAGATTTCGGATATGCACATTCGAAAACCCATGCAAAATGCCATTTTTTAGCAGCTGCGTTTTCTTGCCCTAACTGCTCCAAAACTTCAAATACACACCCAAACAACCACATTTTATAAATTAAACTTCAAACAACTAAATTTAAATCATTTAAGTAATCTTTTTTGCAAATGTAAAGTATAACAAAAGATTCGGATTCGGAGAAACTTACACAAATTGAGAGTTTTGAAGTGTTGAACTGTTGTTGAAATAGGTTGACAACGTAACTTGCTTTCGAACTTTATTGCTCAAAGATTGCTCAAAATATTTGGAAAAGAAGTAGCTAGAATGAAGAGAGTGAGAATGGAGAAAGATGGAAAATGGATTTCTGTTTGTGCCTATAACTGGGGCGATTCGGATAGGCATATCTCAATCAGCCATGTTACAAAAATTAAAGGGTTAAAAGACTGTTTCAGATATCCGAATCAAGCCTTTAAAATATGAAAAATGATTCGTTCGGATATGCATATCCAAAATTTGAAAGCATTTAAGGAATTTCACTCCTAAGGTGTAAAGGTGCATAAAAATATTCCATTTTCTTGATATGTCATTATCATTCAGTTATGAGCAATCAAAACAAGGAAAATATTTCACATATCTCCATATTATCTGATGTGTGTAACAGGGAAAATATTTCACATATCTCCATATTATCTGATGTGTGTTTCTTTCACTTTACATGTCTTTACGTGGAATGAGTTTTCAATCGTTTGGTTCGGTCGATGACATGTATGGTTAAGGTGCGTGTCTATGCTGACTTCCATTTTCTTTGTTGTAGTTCTTCATCTAAATTCAAAGGTGAGGTTGAAGTTGTAAAGCACACACTAGTGCGAGTCAGGGCTGAGAAAAGGAAATTAGTTGCGGAAATGCTTCTGGAAAAAATGTTTTGGTAATGACACAATGTTTGTTATGAATTTTATGTTTTGAAAGAGATTTTTTTTGTTATTTACAAAAAGTCTCAGTACATGCAGTCTACCACCCAATAAAAGAATCTCAATTATCAGCAACCCAAAAACAAGAACGGGAAAAAGAGAATGGTGCAATATAAAACAGATCAATGAGTCAACAAACCCTTTTTGAATGAAACAGCATCATGGTTCAGTAAGTAACTGGAAAAGACATAGGATACTGGATTTCCTAGGGCCTTCCAAGAGAAGGGCAACGAAAGTAAGGTTATTGCAGCACACTCCAACAACATTAGTCTGAAAATGCATTTCTAGCTTTTGAAACAACTGAGATTATACAAAACTAGCATATGTCATAGCATTACAAGCCCTGCCCCCCAGAAAATAGGCGAAATAGGTGTAGAAGTGTAGAACTAATCCGATAGTTAAAATGCAGATGCATTTTAATTTAATACTGCCTGAAAGTAAGATTCAATCGGCCAGGTTTACGGAGATTAGTTTCTTCAATCAAACTGATAGGGGCCTCTGGCTTAATAGCACTAACGCCGTGAAAGACCTTTCTAGCTTTTCCACCAAAGATCAAAACATCCCCAGATTCCAAAACAACTTTCTCTGCCTTGTCAACATCCCTTTCATCACCATACAAAAACTCAGCAGAGTTTCCGATAGAGAATGACACCACAGGCAATCCTGCAGCAATACTCGGTTCACTTTCATCCTTGTCCTGCAAGAAACATCACTCGATCATTAAGACAATTTTCAAATATCTGATAAATAAATGCAGTGTTGTCAATAGCATATAACCCAAAATAGCATTTTGTTCTAATTCCACTAGCTACAACGCTATTGTGCCGATACAGCTATAGTGTATCACGGAACAAGCTATAGTTGTAATTTGACTACCATGTGTGAACGTGTTAAGCTACTTGCCTGATGAAGACCAAGTCGGCCGTTCTGAGAGTAAAAATTGACAATACAAATATCAGGCGAGAACAAGGAAAGGTCTTTGGAGTTAGAGAGCTTAGTGACGGTTTGTGAATCTTTTAATGCAGAATGAACCAAAGTCACAAATTCATGAGGAATTTTCGGCGGAACAGACCCATCAGAGGGTCGTTGATCAACATATCTACTCGTTTGAGGATCCCAATTTTTACCAAGACACATCATTTTCAAATGCAAGTTAGTCCCATCCTCATAACCAGGTTGGTAAAAGCCACCATCACCTAACCCTAATTCCCTACATTTTTTCACTATCTTAACTTGATCGGTCCGTGAAATGTAACCTTTCAAATGAACCATCCCAGGTCTTAACTCCACAATTTCTTTGCTACTTTGTTTCAATTCCTTCCTTCTTTCTTTGTTCTTTGCAAACAAACCCGGTTTCAAAACAACAGGACCTCCACTTTGTTTGGGGGTGCAAATATCAAAGGCCTTTGTTTTAGTTTCAGAACCACAAACACCTTTCTTATCTTCAACAACATCAACCTAATCACAATAGATCCATCAATTTATGAAAGAATCATCATATAGCATATATATAATAATGTAAAGGAAAAAAAAAAACCCTAATTTCAATTTTTTTGATAATAATATGATAATAAAATTGAATATTACCGGTAACAACGGTTGTGTTGGTGGAGTGGGAGTTGGTCTAGTTCGATGACGATCATCAATGGACCATAGCGATGGCGAAGGTTGATTTTCCATGGCGATGTTGCTGCAAAAACCGATTCAAGTTACGAATGGGTATGAAAGTATCAACACATGCAGTTTCTTTTTCAAAGTGTCTTTTCAGTTAACCTTTTTCTATTTCAATTCATTTAGTGGGATTCTCTCGGCTCTATAATGTTTGGAACTTGTATCGTCCTCGCTCGTGTATATAATAACGTCTGGAACTTGTATATAATGTTTCGGGAAAGAAATATTTCGAATTGAAAATCACTTTTTTTTTTATATAGAATAATTGAAAATCACTTTTTTTTAATATAGAATAATTGAAAATCACTTTGTGTTACAATAAAATTATAATCACTTAACAATAAATTAACAATAAATCTGCTATATAAACAATTCTGTTATACATGGATCCCTCAAGCAAATATCTCACTCCAGATCACATAAATAATATCATTTCAGTAGAGATACTATCTGAAAATGATGATAGACAATTGTATCATTTGATCAAGACACATATAATTTATGGGCCATGTGGTTTAGTAAATTAGTCTTCACCTTGCATGAAAAATGAGAAGTGCTCTAAATTCTTTCCCAAATAATATCAGCCTCAAATAGTTGTTGATCACGATGGATATCCTGTTGGAGTACAAGGAAGATAAAAGGCAAAAGGAATATTTACTGATAGTTTCAAAAATAAAGATTTACAATGAATTACAATAACCTACTCCACTAGGCTATTTATACACACAAATTAAATCTAAAATATATCTTCTACAAAGATATAAGAAGATCTAAGATATATATATATATCTTCTAACAAAGATATAAACAATCTAAAAGATATTCATAAATATAAACTAATATCTAATTAAATCTAAATTAATTCTAACACCATCCCTTAATTTATATTTACCCAAAACTGACAACACCAATTACATCCATTAAACCAAGAAATTGATCAGTTTTGATAGCCTTTGTCAAAACATCTGCCAGCAGCTTCTGAGTGCTACAGTGCACAACCTCTATTATTCCATTCTGAACTTGATTCCTCGGAAAATGATACTTGGTCTCAATATGCTTGCTTCTCCCATGCAACACTGGATTCTTTGCAAGATTGATTGCAGACTTGTTATCAATCATCAACTTCAGAGGTTTATTCACCTCATTCTTCAGATCTTTCAGCAAATTCAAAATCCACACAGCTTGACATGCAGTCAGAGCACCTGCAAGATATTCAGCTTCACAGGTTGACAGAGCAACAATAGGTTGCTTCTTGGAACACCAAGAAATAGGACCTCCCAGAAATTTGAATAAGTACCCAGAAGTACTTCTTCTGTCAACTCTATCTCCGCACCAATCAGAATCAGAATAACTCAGAAGTTCTGATTCGATCTTTCTTCCAAACGGAAATAACACTCCATATTTCAGAGTTCCCTTCACATACCTCAGAATCTTGATTGCAGCTTGGTAATGAGATCACTTTGGTTTGCTCATAAATCTGTTAACCATTTCAATTGCATAACAAATATCAGGTATGGTATTACACAAATACCTTAGAGAACCAACCATATGTTTGAAGGTTGTAGCATCCACATCCTCTCCATCATAATCAGAATCTAACTTCTGATTCGTATCAGCAGGTGTGATAGCAACCTTACAATTTTCTAGCTCAAATCTCTTCAGAAGCTCTAGTTCATACTTCATCTGATGTAAAATGATTCTTTTCTCAAAGTACATAAATTCCATCCCTAGAAAGAAACTCGTTTTTGCAAGATCTGTCATCTCAAATGCATTCATCAGAACTTTCTTGAACTTAGCTATCTCTTGTTCAGAACTTCCTGTGAGTAATATGTCATCAACATACAAACAGACCAGAATCATATTACCTTCTGAAGTGTGCTAAACATAAACACCATACTCCATCTCACACTTCTGAAACCCTTGTTCCTTGAAAAACGAATCAATCTTCAAGTTCCAAGCTCTGGGCGCTGCTTCAATCCATACAATGCTTTGTGTAATTTGAACACTATCCCTTCCTGATTCTTTTTCTCAAATCCAGGAGGTTGTGAAACATACACCTCTTCTTGTAATGGACCATTCAGAAATGCAGATTTTATATCTAAATGCATCAGAGGCCAATTCCTGTTAGCAGCTATTGCAATCACTAGTCTGATTGTTTCATGTCTCGCTACAGGTGCAAACACTTCAAAGTAATCTAGCCCAGGCTTCTGTAGGAAGCCTCTTGCTACTAATATCACTTTGTATTTTCCAATTGATCCATCTGGCTTTAGCTTCTGCTTGAAAACCCATCTGACGCTGATGGCTTTCTTTCCTTTTGGAAATTCTGTCAACTTCCAAGTCTTGTTTCTCTCTATAGCATCAAGTTCTTCTTTCATGGCCTGTAACCAAACTTGGTGCTTAAGAGCCTCTTTCGTACTCACGGGTTCAGAGTCTACTAACATTGCACACTGAATAACTTCTCCTTCAGAGTTTACTTAAGTGTCTAGCAACATATCACACTCTGCAAATCTTCTTGGGATGCTTCTGACTCTTTGTTGCCTCTGAACTGGACCTTCAAAACTTTGGACACCAAAACTTTCCCCTTCAGAAGCACTTGCTTCAGAAATTGAACTTTCTCCAGAACCTTGACTGTCTTCAAGTCTGGATCACCATCGGAGTCAGAGTCAGAATCATTTTCTCCTTCTGTATCTTCTTCAGAGTCAGAGTCTTTACTAGCTTCAGAAACATGTATTTATGATCTTTCTTCAGAAGTTCTGTCATCAGAGTCAGGACAAGACTTTTCCCAATTCCAAACTTCTGATTCCTCTATAATGACGTCTCTGCTGAAATCAACTTTGTTAGTTTTTGGACAATAAAGTTTGTACGAACCTGTACTGTGATACCCCACCAGCAACATCACTTTACTTCTATCATCCAACTTTTGTCTTCTGGCTTCTGGCTTCTGGGACATGTTTGTAACATACAGAACCAAATACCTTCAGATGACTAACACTTTGCTTATCTCCAGTCCACTTCTGAATAGGAACTATTTCCTTTAATTTCTTTGTTGGACATTTGTTGAGCACATAACATGCAGTTGCAATAGCTTCTCCCCACAGAGTATGAGGAAGCTTCTTCTCTTTCAGCATGCTTCTCACCATATCTAGCAAAGTATGATTTCTTCTTTCAGCAAGACCATTATGTTGAGGAGTATATGGAGCAGTAACCTCATGCTCAATTTCGTTCTCCTCACAGAAACTTATGAATTCTGTGGAGTTATACTCACCACCACCATCAGTTCTAAGAATTTTCAGAGTCTGGCCACTCTGATTCTCAGCATTCATTATGAACCTTTTGAATTCAGCAAACACCTCGTGTTTGAACTTTATGAGAGATACACATGTCATTCTGGTGAACTCGTCAAGGAATGACACAAAATATTTATTCCCTTCAGTCGATGCTACTGGAAACGGACCGCACACATCAAAATGTACTACTCCCAAGGCATGTTTTGCTCTTGGAGCTGCTTCTGATGCAAAGGGTAATCTTGGTTGCTTCCCTTCCATGGACACCTTGCATGACTTTTCAGGCTTCTTGATTGTAGGAAATCCATGTACCAGATTATTTGATTTCAGATGCCCTAAACTTCTGAAATTCAGATGACTAAATCTTTTGTGCCACAGCTCACTCTCCTTGATAACACTTGTTGCACTAAGACATTCAGAGTCTGTAGTTCTAACATTCACCTTGAATGTTCTGTTCCTTCCCTGTTCTGACTCCATAATCAGCTTTTGATTACAGTCGTACAACTTCAGAAGATTGTCCTTCATGGTAACTGAAAAACCTTTCTCAACCAGTTGTCCCACACTCATCAGATTGCCTTTCATGCCAGGTACATACCAAACATTCTGGATCACAGATGCTTTCCCATTGTTTAGAATGATTCTGACATTTCCCATATCTTCTGCATTGAGGTATTTGTCATCAGCATATCTGATCTTTGTACTCTTCCCAGAGTCAAAGTCAACCAACCACTTCTTGTTTCCAGTAAGATGGTTTGAACACCCTGTGTCCATATACCACCATTCTGATGAATTCATATCATCAGGTTCAGAAGCCAACAATAGCACAGGTTCATCATCAGAGTCTCCTCTTTCTATATTTGCTTCTTCTGACTTCCTTTCTTTGTTGGACCAGCAATCTCTGGCATAGTGACCAAAGTTCTTACAATTGTAACATTGAACATTCTTCTTGTCAGACTTCTCCTTTCCCTTCTGGATATTCTTCTGCCTATCAGAGTTTGAAGCTTCTGACTTTTGACCACCATTAATTCTCTTATTGGCTTCTGACCAGGCCTGTTTCTGATGCTTCTTACCAGAAGTTACTTTTAGAGCCTGCTGCTCTACTTCCCTCTTAGAAGTTCTTGCAGTCATATGCAACTCATGCGCCTCTAGACTACTTTGCAACTCTTCAACTCTTATGGTGCTCAGATCTTTAGAATGTTCAATTGCTACAACAATGTAATCAAACTGAGAAGTTAAAGATCTCAAGATCTTCTCAATAATTACTTGTTCAGACAGAGTTTCTCCATAAGTTTTCATCTCATTAGTAATCAGAATCATTCTAGAGATGTATTCAGAAACCTTCTCGTTATCCTTCATGTTGAGATTCTCATATTGCTTTCTGAGAGACTGAAGCTTCACCTTCTTCACTGATGCGTCGCCACCGTAACATCTGACCAGTGTGTCCCACGCAGCCTTTTCTGTTTCAGAATCAGCAATCTTCTCAAACACATTCACATCCACACATTGATGGATGTAGAACAACGCTTTCTGATCTTTCTTCCTCAGCGCCTTTTGTGCTATCTTCTGGGCCTCTGTTACATCTGCTTCTAACAGATTATAGCCATCAGTGACAAGATCTAACACATCTTGAGAACCAGATAACACGTGCATCTGGATCTTCCAACGATTCCAGTTTTTGCCATCAAATACTGTAAGCTTGGAATGAATATATTCATTTCCGTTCAT